CCTACTCGTTCCAAGATCCAAAAACGGACCGTGAAGTTTGCTAGCCTGGATCTTGATCGTGGAATACTCAGCTGGCTAAAATTCTAGAGCGATGTTTCATCCTCAACCTAGTATGACTAGTTGAGAACCCTGTCTCAAATGACTATTCACAAAACTCATTCATGCGTCGAACTCAAACCCTATCTAGACTCGAGTCGCGAATAAGGAAAAGAGCCGTGTATTGCAGAGGTATTCGTTTCAGGAGAGACCTTACGCTAAATCCAAAGTGTGCCGTGGCATTAAATGTCAATGATGTCATCGCAGCCTTGAGATTTCAAAAAGAGACTGGCTATTTATTTGCTGCTAGTTTCGTCACATCTGCCTGGTATCCATCTCTAAGTAATTGTCAAGCTGCAAACCATAATTGCTCCAGAAAATCCTTCTGCCAAACAATGAATCGACTCTGCGAGCCATTCTGTGCAGTTTTCAGGTGCTTTTGGCAAAAAAAAAGTCATCTGCCAGAGAAAAACACCCTCCCGGCAGAAAAAAAACACCTCCCGGCAGAAAAAGCCATGCCGGCTTTCGGAACTGCAGAGTTCGAGGGCTTCTGCAGAGTGCACGCCAGCCTGCTTCAGGAAAAAAAGTGTTTCTGCGGACTCAAAAAGGGCGTTTCTGCAGAGTTTATCATTCCCAGTGTAGCACTTTATTGCACCTGTTGTGTGCACTGAACTTACCCTTCAAGACCGTCCTGAGTCGATCTCAGGCAGACTGACTAAGAGCCTTTCCTTACTGAGGAAAGGATTGAACAAGAGAACTTTGCCAGTTCTTCCTGCAGGGTTGTCAGTGTCCGCTGCAGTTTGCCGAGTGTAGCTAAAGTCTTCTTACTATGGCTGTTACTTGAACTACCACTCGAGCTTTTCTTGCTCGACTTGCTACGCTTGCTCGACTTGCTTTGTTTTGACTTTTCGTCATCATCTTTATTTTTGTCCAGACATTGCGAGGCTGGATGTCCTTTCCTGCGGCAGTTGAAGCATTCTTTGTTGCTCCAGTATTCGCTGTGAAAGGCTACGTTTCGGTTTCCGCGGCCTCTTCCTCTGCCACCACCCCGTCCTCTCCCGACTTGCGTCGTCTGGGTAAAGGAGCTTCCGTGGGAAGTGGACTGTCGTGAGGTGTTACTCTTGGTGTGTTTGTCCAAGAGGTGTAATACGCCATGGATAGTGTGGGGATAGTTGTCAGTGCCTTTGGCATAGTCGTCCCTAAGGTTCTGTTTGAGTTTGATGTTCTCAGCTGAACTATTTGTTAGGAAGATGTAGCTATAGTATCGTTCTTCAGCGTATTCCATGACCTTAGTCTGTTCCTCGGGTGTGAGGTCATATTAATTTTTTGTGTGCAGCAGTTTAGCTGTATGTCGCATCGCTGCTTGGTGTACCTTGGAAATGCCCACGGATAGTGCAATGTCCTTCTTGGTGGTAAATTGCTCGTGGTATTCGTAATCAGCGTTCTGTATCATCTTGTCCTTCGACAATCGGGTGCATTGCCCAAGGATCAAGTTGAATGCTTTGCCCCTATTCTCTTGGAGTTTTGCCAACCTATTATGGTAGGTCTTCATGAGTCCTCCAAACTCTGTTTTCTCTGGTCCCGAGAGTTCCTCTTCCGGTGGATCTTGTATGGCTTCTTCTAGGTCGTCTATGGCATTTACGATGTTTGCTTTTTCTATCGTTAACGCTCGCCACCTATCTATTTCATTCGAGTCCTGACTGACTGCGACTGTCTGTTGGTCCAGCACCTCTAGGCTGGCCCGGTTCGCCGTTAGTAGACGTGTGTTTTTCTCTTTGCGTCGTTCGGCTGCTGATCGGAGCCTTGCCTGGGTCTCCAGTGAGTATGCCGGCTGATGTCTTCACCCATCTGTTGTCCAATGTAGATGGTGATCTTCTCCCATGTTCGTATCATCTGGTCTGCCGTAGCCGATCCAGTTGTACCGAAATCGAACACATGTTGTTCGAGGGCTTTGCATGAACCTGTTTGTCGGTTCGAAGACGATTGGCTGGATCTTCCACGCCCCCGTCCTCTGCCGCCTCGGCCACTGCTTCCTCTACCTCTACCACTCATGTCTATGCTACGGTAGGTGGACTATTTCAATTGTTCTTTTTTATTGACTAGCTCTTTTATTTTAAGTTCTTGATTAACTACTTATTCGTTGCTCGGCTATGGGGCAATTAACTGCAAATTATACTCCTGGCTAGGGAGTGTTAAGTCTATAACTAAAGATCTTGTAAGGGTGGGCCCGATTGCTTCACACAGTGTGTGGTCGCGGCCTTTCCAAACCTGTTTCTTTGTTGAGTGACTCCTCGGTTGGGTGCCCGTCCTTGGCCCCTGCGCTGGAACTATGGCTGAATCCCTAATCGCGAATCCCCAACATTGATTAGCTTGACACAGAGAGAGTAGTAGTTTATGCTTTTGTTGGTTTGGTTAGTAATCTGTCTTTTGTAGTGACAGATCCAGTAGCGGGGCTCCACTTGGTTTCGGTCTCGCTTGGAATAGTCAATGACAATGGCACCGTATGGCTCCGACATGCCACTGCAAATGGCGGCACAGTCTACCAGACTTGGAACATATTTACACCCATACAAGGCCTGATCCCCTTGTAGGATTGCCATCATGCGACGCACATGTCTACATTCAAACTCCGGAGAGTGCCCCGCACTTTAAATCATATGTTCTCCTTGTCCGACTGCTGTCGTCCCTCCGCTGACCCTTATCAGGGGGCGAATGCAATACACGGCTCTTAGCCTTATTTGCGACTCGATCCTAGATAAGCTTTGGGTTCACTCAAGACTGAGTCTTTCACGGATAGTCATTGAGACAGGGTACTCATAAACGCTAGTCATACTAGGTTGTTGATGAAACATCGCTCTAGATAATTAGCTGGCGTGGAGAACTTCCACGCTACTAGACAAATACTAGCTGAAGTTTCCATGTGTTCCGGAATTGGAATCGTGGAGTACGTAGATTCCACCACAATCTACGATATCACACTTCCAAGCCTCCTGCGGGAGACCTGCTCAATGAGCTTCAAGACAAAGTTCTCGGCTCCCTTTGATAAATTTTCGTAGCTTTCTAATCTCTCTCATAACTTTCATTATCTCTAACTCAAAACACTCGAAAGATCTTTAGACTAGCTTTTAGCGTGGTGCAGTGTTGTCCTTTGGCAGGCCCCAAGTCATCTTCTTAGCATTCAGCCAGAGCTCCAATTCATCCGTCTTCATTTGCATCAATCATTCAGCTCTCAGTCCTCAGCATCCTCAAAGGTTTCATCATCATCATTGGATGTTTCTTCCCTGCTCCTTCCTCATCAACTTGATCCCGATTGCCTGGATGAATACCTGCAGCTCTAGCTGGCTCATCCCTTATCCACATCTCCCCTTATACCAAGTGCTGCAGCAGCTCTCCATCATTCTGTTTGGACTACTGGATTGCCATGGTGCTTGCAACCCGCTGGTAACCAAATGGGGCATTGACAGAATCATCAGATGGGATGAAACACATTTCAATCAACTTGGAGTGAACCTCTGAGGGCATGGGACAGCGTTTTCTCTGTAGATCTTGAATCAATGCCATTACAGCCTGCTCTTTGGAGGCATACTTGGCAACATGAGTGCCAGTTCCGCTTCAATGAGAGATGTTGTGGTTACTACCAATTGATAAGCTCTGTTTACGAATCCGCAACCAACCTCTCTGCTTCGGCGCTACCTTACCCAACAGAGAGCTATGGCACATATTGAATTAACAGGGTCTCATCTACCAGTTTAATTAGTATGGTCTATCTAATGCAATCGTATAGTCTATTTGGTCAGTCCCAAGATTGCAACCTCACAAGTCCCCCGACGGATTTCACAATGAAATTTGAAGGGGCGTGCCACACAGCAGAAGCCATTCTAGATGGCACCATTGGCACAGATGGAATGGATGAAATGACAAAAATTTTCATGGAATCACTGCAATATGTGACAGAGCCAGACTCCATCAAGGCCCCAACCAGAGAGTGGAGCTGTTTCTGGTGTCATCCACGAAGCCAATGATTTTTAGGTTGATTGTGATTTTCCCATCTGGACTTGTGTAGGTGGCTCCAGTTGCTCTTTCTTCATACAGGTCAAACAATGTGCTGCATATGAAGAGCCAGTAACAAGGTGAGTTACCACTGCCCTGGCCTGTCCCAAACCATGGGTGGGCCTCGCAGTGCTGGACATAGTTGTCGGAAATTCCCAGTTTGGTTTTCAGATGATATTGGCTTCTGCCAATGTTCCTCACCCTGGACGATGCAATATCTTCTTGTTCATGCCATACTTGCGGCTTGCCACATTGGCCAGGAAGCATGGATTCTGTCATAACAAGATGTGGCATCATTATCGAAGTGTATCAGGGTTTTTCTGGTGAGTCGTGCAATCTCGTACTCAAGCTCTCTCAGAAACACGCATCAAGAGCCTCTTTGCCTGGTTGCGAACCGAACTTGACTCTCACTTATGAAACCTTGTCGCATGCGTGATGCAGGACTGCTCGCCACTTGATCCCCAGGATTAAGTTGAAGTCTGCTTCATACAGATGTATAACGCGCAATCTGTGTATTTTTGGGTGCCTGGGTCTTTCTGTAGCATGGCGTTAACCACGTTTTCCACGCATTGAAGGTATATCAAATTGGATCGCATAGTCAACAGCATGATTGTCCTTCGAAGATGGCTTTCTAATCTCATCGATTTCTTGATCTCCTCTTTTGTCAGTCAGGTCTTGCAAATCAAAAAAATAGGCTTTCAAGTGGCCTAAATGCATGTTGGAGCCTGGTGATGTTGAAGTTTTCTCGTCCCAAGCTTTGATTTTTGCTTTGTACTCTTCAGGATCGATTGGGGCTTGATGGAGTCTGGCTCTGTACATATTGCAGTGATTCCATGAAAATTTTTGTCATTTCATCCATTCCATCTGTGCCAATGGTGCCATCTAGAATGGCTTCTGCTTTGTGGCATGCCCCTTCAAATTTCATTGTGAAATCCGTCGGGGACTTGTAGGTTGCAATCTTTGGACTGACAAAGTGTTTCCTGTTTCTCTTCCAGTAGGGCTTCAATTACCTCCGGAGCATCCTCCCGTTTCAGTTCTGACATGTTTTGGGATCTTCTGCTGGGTCCTCTGGTACTAATAGGTACACAGCCCTCCTTGCTTTTCTGGATTCCGGATGTTGTCAATTTTCGGAAGACATTGGAGACTTTCTCTGCTCTTCGCATTCCCCGAATCCTCTTGGCTGCTTTCGAATTGCCTTTGGCTTCATGTTGTTGATCATGCGCTGTTGGTGGCTCTACGCAGCTTCTTGTTCTGATTTCCTCTTTCACTGCTGCTTTGAATTGCTTGTCAATTTGTTTCAGTTTCTTTTGGCACTCTCGTTTGGTAGCTGGGGAGTGAAGCCGATTGAGCAATTGAGATCTATATGTTTCTATGTTATTCTCCAAGTCATATTGCTGTTGAATTGACTGACTGCCAGTTGCAGTATTGTGTGGATGTTTCTGAGTCTAGCCAATTCTGGGCTGTAAGGGGCTGGCGCGTAGGTTTTGACTCTGCTCCCCCCATAGCTGCTTGAGCTGACCAGTCTGTTGTACAGGTCTTCTGCTAGATGGTGGTTGGGTTGGTGGATGTTCATGGCTCCCCTCAGTGTTGGGAGTTTGTTGCGCCATCGGTGATCAAGTAAGTGTTTGTCTTTCATATAAAAGTATTCTGGGATTTGGTGCAGCTTGATCCTTACCTCGAGATACAGTTGAGCCAGCAGCTCTCTCAAACATTGGGTGTAACGAGTATAGTTGAGTTCCATTTGACCAATGTAAATCCAAATGACCCCATCCAAAAAGAAACGCCTGACATCTGCATGGTGGGCAACCATGGCTGCAAGCGTTGTTTTTCCAACACCATCCACACCAAGGGACTCTGGGTCACTGAAAAACTCAGGCACACTGCTTACAGCCACAAGGTTTGTAGCTGATAATCCCCGAGGGTTTCGTATTGTGTTTCGAATGCTTGCAAAGCTGTCCAGCAGGGATGTATCTGTGATGGCCCTGGGTGGTAGGATCCTGCGCAGAATGCTGGCCATGGCAGCTTTTCGAGGCAAAGGATCACCATGGACTTTCTCAAGCACCTGTTTCGCGGCATCTGGAACTGGAGCCATCTCGTAATCATCGCCTGGTTGAATTCTAGACTCGTCCATGTCAGCCGGATCGATTCCGCAGATATCCATCAACACTCTTGTGTCAGGGTGCATCACGAGCTATCACGTCAAGAGCCCTGCTGTAGCTCTCCATTGCTTCATGGTAGTCGCTCATCATCAAAAAGAAGTCTCCAATCTTCTGGATGGTTTGAGCATGCAAAAGATGCTTTTCCCCACCATGGAGGGCACCATGATTCTAAGACATTGCTTCAACGAGCTCAGCGATCTTTCATAGTCACTCATTGCCGCAATAGACAACACCAACATTGAAGAGAATGGCCGCCACAATCTCAATCATACAGACCATGCAGTTCTTGTTGGCTCTTCTGGCTCCCAGCGAACCTCAACGTTTCTGAAGACAACAGAGCTGTCAAATCTTCTCTTAAAGGATCCCGGGACGAATGAATGAACTGACACCCCTTTCCCATTCAGTCCTGTGCCGCAACGTCAACGAGGAATAAGGCGCTCACCTCATTCAACAGAAAATTCCGAGAACAAAAACAAGAAACAGACTTTATGGAGATTGGGCGATCGTATTGAACACGCAGAGCATACAATCGAAGCTAGCTAGCTGTCAATAGCTGGGATTGCTAGCTTGTGTTCTGCTGTTGAACAAATTCCTAGCTAGCTATACTGTCTCATTTAGTCAATCAAGCAATTATACGTGATCCTTGGATGATCCCGAGACGGCTGGATACTCCGAACACTCCTTCCGTTTGCCATGATAAAGTGGAAGCAACGGCTCTACGCCTTGCTTTTGAGGCAAGTAGTGGGGCCTCTCCTGGATTCAGAATCACAAGAGAAGCTCCATGAGTCCATAGATGTGTCCTTCCAAGAAGGGACTTTTGTCCTGAGCAATGTGTCTTTGTGCACAGCGTACCTGAACAATTTCGATATTGGCCCTCTCTATGTCAAGAAAGCAAGAGTGGGGTCCCTCGCAATCAGTTTGTCTCTTGTGGAAGGACAAGCTTCCGAGAATGCTACATCGTCTAGCATTGCCTGGAGAGCCATGAATCTCGGATCCACCGTGGCCTTGGTGGCTCAAATTGAGATTGACGGTCTTCAGCTGGAACTAGAACCACGACAAAAAAGTACCGCTGCCGAAATTGCGGCTACATCAAGTCATCATTCACTCAATAGCAGCGACTCGGATACTGAAACAGCCCCACAAAAGAGCACTTTGTCATCCTACATCGACGCTGCAATGAGTTCTCTGCAGCTCACGCTTAACTTGACAAACTGCTCCTTTCGAATATCACAGCCCAATGGCTGCGGTGGTGACCATGCGACACCAACAACTACCTGGATTGAACTGTCTCTGCCGTCTCTTAGTTACCAAGATATTGATCCTACCGAGTCCTCTCCACAGCAACGACAACAAGAACAATCCAGTACTACGCAGAAAATTCTACAAAAGTCAGTCACGTGGCAAGGGATCTCCCTGGCAGCTGGAGAATATAGTGTAGCTCTGGATGGAACTCTCTTCCAAGACCCAAACTTGGTCACCACCATGGCTCTGGCCGAAGGAACGGGGCAGATTTTGCTTCGGGCAGTCGAATACAAGAGCGACACAACAGCAAGCAAGAGAAAACCCGCTGCAGCTCGGGTGCAACAAGATGTCGATGTCAGACTCAATCAACAGATAAAAGTTTCCTTGGATGAAACAACATTGCGTCAAATCCAATCTGTACTTGACGGTTTTGTGGCAAATGCCGATGAAGGCGACAACACGACACTACAGCGTGAAGAGTCGGTAGAGTCCATGGTTTCTCAGGCTGGTGGACATCATCAAACTGGGTTGGAGGGAATGGAACTCTATTCCATCGACGGTATCATGAAACAGTATCAAGAAGCTAGGATGCTCGCAGCCAGAAACGAGATGCGAGGCGGGATGTTGCTGCCGTCAAACGATGAAGGAGATTCCCGCACGTTCGACATGTTCTTTGACGCCAATGACAAGAGCTTCTCGCACTACGCATCCATGATGAAAGAAAGCATGTTGGCCTCTCGCGAAGGAGGCCCGTCGGACTCCTTTGTTCATACAAAGATACGCATTCATGTACTGGGTAGTGCATTGAAACTAGGATTCCGTAACCGGTCCAGCGAGGCAGCTCCTTACTTGGGGCCTGAAGAATACATTCTAATGACATTTGACGAGATCAGCGCAACATCCTCGCTTTCGCACAAACGCTCTGAGTTTGCGCTTCACATTTCTCACCTGGAGATTGATGATTCGCAAACACAGTACCATGACAAGATGCAAGCGGCAGAAGGTCGGAAAGCAGAGATTGGGACACTTCTCAGCTTTACACAGGTAAGGCTGCAGTCTGGACTATTGCTTTGTAGCAGGTTTCATCACTCATCTCGTCTCATCATTTTGGATTTATGTTTCATTCCTTCGGCAAATGCAGGCTGATGATATTGTACAGCCAGCCTGCATATCTTTCCAGCTAGATGTGGACACTGATCCTTCCGGTAACAAAGTCCACAACCTGGAGCTCAACCTGATGCCCATAGAAATGACCTACCGGCATCGAACTGTATCAAACATTACTGCCCTGATCTCTTCGCTCGGCAACAGCAGCAGAAAAAACAACAACCAACAGCTCAACCCAACGGAACAAACAAACAGCAGCGCTGTCACTGCGCTTTGCACAATCTCATCTTTGACTCTGACAATCCCAGCTCTGTGTGAGAGTGATTTCTCCCCTCTCTATGCTCGATGCGGTCACTATTCAGTCGGTTCAGCTTCGACTTGCTCGGCTATTGGTTTCGTCATTGAGGATATTACTCTGGAGCACGAGTCAGGTGACAACACAGCAGACAAAGATGGAGCGGCTGCGGACCCTTGCACCAGCCTGGAATGCCAAAGCATACTTGTTTTTGCGTCAACGCCGGAGAGCCCTGGCGTTCCAGTAGGGAGAAACAATCGTGTGGATATTTTTGCCGCATTTGGCCGCTTTGAAGTTGAACCCCACATACCCATTGTGCTACAGTACCGACAAGTCAATGATACCAAGGAGGCCTCAGAAAGATCCAATGCTGTCAAAGCGATGTTCCCAACGGTCCCGCTTTTCTCCTCCTTCAAAGCCCGTCAAGAGGATGAAGACGAAGACGAAGCAATTGATCAAATTTTGTCAAACCAGTTGCGCAATGTCGACGTTGACAGTCGGCAAACGCTTAGGGCCAAAGACCCTCAAGACGAAATGATCTCAGAAGCTGAAAAGGCAGTCGCCCTTGTAAAGATTCATATACCAGAAATCGTGTTGGACCTATCGAGGGATGAGCTATGTGCGGTGCAGAATCTTCTTTCGTGCTGCTTTCCGTCGACAATGAACGAATCCTCCGGGGACCACGACTCGGCGGAAGAGCATTCTTCTTCTTCCCTCTCTATCGCTGTATCTGTGGCCTGTGACTCGATTTCTTGTTCGCTGGTAGACAGGGGCACGTCGGGTGGAACGGAAGAGTGGAGGTCGCATTTGTTGAAGCTAGATCGGTGCAGAGCTCACGTGACCACTGGGGATGGAACCACCCAATGCTTACGTGTCTTGTCGCACGAAACTACTATGTTTGAATGTAAGGAACCTCCTTGTTTGACTGTGTCTGCCTTTGTTGTTTCTGACGGTTTCACTCTCTTGTGTTTCTGTAGTGGTCAATATGCTGCCTAGTTGGTGCTCTGGTCGGGAAGTTGATTGCATTCAAGACAGAGTGAGAAGCTTGAAGCTTCGCGCCACGACAACGCCTCGAGCTTCCACCGAGCCTATTCTCTATCGCTCAAAGATTTTCCCGGCGATTTCCCCAAGCAGCCCATCCATCCTGCTGGACTTCCTTCGCGCCAAGCCCGCTTGTGAAGGAGTTGAGCAAAGTGTGTTTTTCTCTGTATATAACCTTACTCACCGATTCAATCCAGATTCGAAATGGTTAGACAACCTAATGAAGTTTATCTCTGCCATTGATCCCACGCCCGAACCGAACGAACAGCGCACGGTGGACCCTATGGTGGATTGTCAGTCAAGCTCTTTAACCAAGGTAAGCCCTTGCGGCAAAGGATCCAAAAACTTTTGTCAGATGTCCCGTTGTTCTCACAACGTGCCCAGGTCTTTGCCACTCTTATGGACTGCAACGTGGACTACACTTCGTTGCCGCGGTTTTCCACTGCGTCTCGCTCGATTCTTCGAGTTGGTGATGTGCGTTTCTCCAGCAACATTTTGACTCCAGCTGGGTCTGTCCAGGCGTACAACGTTTCCGTGGGAGATCTCTCATGGCAGTTGTGCAATACGCGCTGTTCGTACAATCTGGAGAATTCGCTGCTTCCTGGATCGGCTCTCATTATGTCGCCGAGCTTTCTTTCTTTCAATCCCCAGCAATCTACTGGAACCTCAACGGATTACACTTTTCGGATGGGGTTTAAGACATTGGTGACCCTCGATTCTATCAGGGCTGTCATCGTCAAACGGAATCCGAAAGCCAACAACAATGGATTGGAAACGGGCGTTGAACCACCGCTCACGACGAGCCTCGCGCTTGGTGAGGTCTCGTTGTATGCCTGCAAAGACTCTTTCGAGTGTTTCACAAGCTCCATTGGAGAGCTTGAAACTCTCCTCACATCTCTAACCAGCGAAGAAATGGAGGAGCTCAGAGCCAGCTCGTCGGCGGTACTAGCGGACCCCCACTACAAGGGAGTAGTACACAATAGGAAGCCCGCCCAAACTGTATCGGTAGATGCAGGGAGCAAGTTTTTGTTGGACGGCTACGATTGGACAACAATTGACCATGATGGGCGAACTGACATCCTTCCAGGCGAGGAGCAGACGGCTCGATGGTATCATGCACCCACTCCATCACCCGTGGCTGCTACGAGCTTCTCGCCCCAGAGCAGTATCGTAGAAGTCACCAATTACGAATCTCAATCAAGTCGATGCGATCCGGCTATTCTCAATTCTATCAATGAGTCTTATGCTCCAAAGATCATCGATCACCATTTTCCTTTGCAACTTACTGATATCGAGGTAGCACAATGTGCGGGAAGCAAGTCTGTTGCCGTTGCAAGCCGTGTTCTTGTTCATGACTTGAAAGTTAAGATTCGCTTGTTTGACGGATACGACTGGCCACAATATCAGAGACGGAGGAAGCTCGACCCGAACGCACTTTTTGTTATTGAAGAGCCCCCGGGAAAGGATCCCGAGGGCGCTGGCCAATTGGCTGATCGGGGGGGCGAAGGCAAAACAAATCATCTTGAAGGACTCCTAGGAGGTCCAAATGATGCCACTGATACTTTTGCCGACATGCCACTACCAGAGGAACGAGCCGTATCACTCTTGGCTCAGAACGAAATCCGTACATTTGGCCGAAGGACCAACAGTTACATCCAGATCGTGGCTGATGGCATCAGCGCTCGAGTCGATGCATATGAAAGTTCGAAAGAACACCGCATGAAGTCGTCTGTGCAGTGCTCGCTGAAGGATTTCTTCCTGGCCGAGACAATTAGCAGCATGAATCCAGTCAAATTGATAGGCGAATGGTTCAATGAAACGGAGCATCCGAGAGATTCGAGGGATGGTCTTTTGATGCTGAAGGTACGTTGTTTCATTCATCCTCTGCAGTAAGTTCTTGATTGCGTCTGATCCGTCGTCTTGGATGGTTACTTTGGATATCAGATGTTTACGTGGGACCCGCAGCCCCCCATTACCGACGATGGCGCACTTGCGAATGAAGAAAGCGAGGTTGTCGTAACCATGGCTCCAGTCCGCTGCATTATTGACCAAAGAGCCATCAAGTTCATCAAGGCTTTCTTTGGCGACTCGGACGAATCTGAAGACGACTCCACTTCGAGGCCGGAGTGGGCTGAAGGGCTCAGCTTCATCCCTCCTCCTTTCCTTCGCGTTTTCCGCATGAATTCTGTGAAACTCAAGATTGACTATACGCCACAGACATTGGATACTGCGGCATTGAAGAATGGTAGTGTGGTGGAGCTAATCAACCTGAGCCCGCTGGACGCGATGGTTTTGACGCTGGCGCAAGTCGAAATCAAGGAGGTTTTAGGTTTTGGCGATGCAGTGGATGGGCTTGTGAGCAGCTGGCTGGGGGACATTTGTGCGACGCAGATGCACAAGTTCCTGACAAATGCCAGGCCCTTCGAGCCCTTCACCAACGTCGGAGGGGGGGTTGCGGATCTCTTTGTGCTTCCATGGGATGCTTATCAAAATGGAGACAGCGTCTCTCGTGCTTTGAGATCATCAGTGTCGTCATTGGTTGGCACTGTTGCTCACGAAACGCTGACACAAGCATCTCGGATGTTGCATTCAGCAGGAAACAAATCGCACAGTTCGTTGCCGTCGAGACCACTGAGGACACCAAAGCGGGTTGGAGACACCACTCGCCATGCATTGGAAAGCCTCGCAAGTGGCGTTCAAGCAGCCAATTACAAAGTCATCATCGTCCCGTATAGAGAATATCGTCGCGGTTCCACCACTGGTGCCATCAAGAGCGTTGTGAAAGGAATTCCAGTCGCTATCGCAGCCCCAGTTGGAGGCGTCTCTGAGAGCGTTTCGTACGCTCTTCTTGGCCTCCGAAATCAGGTCCGACCTGACCTTCGAAAGGAGGAGGAAGCCTCGAAACGTGGACTCCACTACGGCGGAATATGATAGATTCGATAGATCTGATGTGCCCGTTGCTACTTCGCCTTGTACCAATAATGCAATCAACTCAATGTTTTAAATTAAAATAGAGAAAGCAAGAATACCACTCACTCTAGTCAGCTAGTCTACCGGTACCGTGTCCTATACGGTAGATAGATAGTTGATTGAATCATTCCCTGTTTGCTTGCGGTTTCCTCATACTAACTTCAACTTTGCGGCCTTTAGTACCTTGCTTGCTTCCTTGTCGGCTTCCTCTGGTTTGATTCTTTTAACCAATTTGACATCTTCCTTGATTTCTTTTTCCGTTGGAGTACCCTCACCGTCAGCCTCGACCAGCGCCTTCTTTTGTTCTTCCAACGCTCTTAGCAAAAGGTCTTTGAGTTCCTTGGATGATTTTTTGGCAAAGTTTTGGAATGATGGGCACTGTTCCTTGGGACGAAGGTCTAGTATTTTTCCCACTTTATCCCCACTGGTGCAGACGTAGACCCCTTCAAATCCATCCAGTTTGTCGAACTTATCTGGGGGTGATTTGGGCAGTTCTGATTTGACTGGCCATTCGATGGCATACCACCAGCGACAGAGTAACTTTTGGATCAACATTCCTTTTTTGCAGCCACTTTCGTACAAAGCGGCCGATGACGACGAGTAGTCGCCCGATTTGGAGGGGGTAGCTTTGGTTGGCGATTTAGGCGCAGGTTTAGCCTTTTTTTTGCTGGTTGTTGTCTTTTTCTTGCTGCTGCTGCTGCTGGATTTGGAGGACTCCTTACTGCTGGGTTTCTTCTTCAGTGAAGCCAAAGGAACATCGTCTTCCTCTTCCTCCGACTCTTCGTGTTCATCGTCGTCGTCATCATCGTTCGATCCGGCGTCTACTTGGTAGTTGACTGTCTCTCGTTTACGCTTCCGCAAGCTGGTCAGTGGCTCATCCTCCTACAATCAAAGAGAAAAGATTCATTAAAAAATATAAAACACCAAGCATTTGACTTCGCAACAAAGAATGAAATTCTATCCATCAGGATTACATGCAAGACAGACATCTTCCATTCTTCGGTTGGAAAGTTGTTGGGCCCAATGCTACTGATAATCCACACAAAGCCCAACGCATTCTTGGCACACACCTCATCATCATCTTCTTCCTCCTCCTCTTCTTCTTCCTCTTCCTCCTCTTCTCCCTCTTCTTCTTCTTCCTCCCCTTCACCACCGTCAAACTCTGCTTCTTCTTCGCTACTAGACATCTTGCTTTCGAAAGGGTTTCTCTATCGCTACTAGCTAGTATTCTATTCTGGATGGGTGTCCTGTCGTCCTGTCAATTGGCTCGGTGCCATGTTTGAATATTGGGGGGAGCTGGTTGGGGGTTGCTGTGGCAAAGCTGGTGGACAGAATACTTCCGCATGGGCAAATGTGCGTTCTCAATTGCAGTCATTGATGCTCGTGATTCAACAAGTTGCCGCCAAAAAATCCAGAGCCTCATTTCTATCTCGTTTCAGCATCACTCTTCATCACACCAACCCATTTCGGTGTCCTTTTTCAAAGCCCAGCACCGGTACTGTATCACGAAAGCTGTCTGAATTGACTGAGCTAGACTAGTAGTAGCTAGAATGGTGTATTTATGAAAGCAGGCATACCTGTCATCCCTCCATCTTGTTGACTTTCCTTTTGAAACGAAACCAAAGCATCTGCAAACCTGCATGTTTCTACGTGTTAGATAAAATTCCGTCTCAAGATTATTCCCACGACGACAAAAATGACAAGAAGATAATGAAGAAATTGATTACCAATTCTAGTAGTGGCAAAAAGACGAAATTCAGCATGAGGCTACTGGTAAAGTTTTGCTTTGGGATGGCCATATTGGTCTGGGGCATCAGTCTCCTGTGGGTATCCAGGCATGCCAATAACTTCCAACAAGACGAAGAATACGACCATAACATAGTACTTGGCGTTCCAACAATCCACTACCACATTCCCGAGAGCCTGGTACCATCCCATCCCGTCAGAGTGCTCGCTAGAGACCCAAGCCAAGAACAAATCAAAACCCCCGACGGACGGTCCACCCTGCTCAGTACCGAAGCATTCCGGGAGTTTGGGGAGGATCTCAGGACCTTGATGCAACAGGGACGAGAAAGCTTACTCAGCCGGGGGAACGTTGAGGCCACAATTGGATTTCGACAGCACTTGCATGCACGAGCGCCATGGCTCAAAGGAGATCCCAGTGATCCCGCATGGCCCTACAATACCATCCCAAAGCCAATCGATGGCAAAGCAATCATCATTTGTGCTGGAGATCCACAATTACCCTATCTGAAAAACCTCATTTATTCGTTGCGGGTTGACCATGATTCCTCCATGCCCATTAAAATCATCTTCTTGGATGACCAAGATCTCACAACACCTTCCCAGGAGATTGTCACGAATATCATCCCTCCAGACAAACCAAAGAACTTGGAGTTTGTCAACTTGTCGAAATACTTTAACCTCAAGCAGGTCCACTTGAAGGGGTGGGACTTGAAAGCCTATGGTCTATTGGCAGTGCCGGAAAATGAAGTCATGTTTCTCGATGTCGATGTCATGCTGCTACAATCACCCGAAACCATGTTTGAACAGAACGGATACCAAGAATCCGGTGCCCTGTTCTTTCACGATCGCATGTTTATGAGATACATTGACTTTTTGTACGACCCAGGCACCTTTGCCATGGCGCTGCAACCCAATCTATCGGATCCAGCCAAACGGGCCATCCACAATGGAGACACACCGTACAACTCGGAACACGTCCAAGAATCAGGAATGCTTCTCTTGGATAAGACACGTAGCATTGTGGGCTTGTGGGCAGTCTGCCTCATCTATGGCCGGGAAGACGTGCGAAGGTATGCACAGGCATATCACATGTACGGGGACAAGGAAATGTACTGGATCAGTTTTGAAACTGTTGGAGAGAAATACACGTGGGCAAAGTTCTACCCGGTACGTTCGTTCGTTCAGGCTTGCTGACTGTCGCAATCATTATGTGTGTTGCGTTTCTCAAATAAATGTCATTGCAATTATGAACGTACCGACTAAAAGGGGGCCATTGGGGGAGTCGCCACTGATTTTGAGTTCAACAACATTGCCATGGTCCCAACTGACGCGGGCCCTGATGTTGGCCGCAAACTAGAGTATGCCAACAACAATCATTTTGGCCTATGCGGTCGACTCGTGCACTTTGACGAGATGGGACAACCACTCTGGGTCAATGGGGGATATTTGACGAAAGAAGAGGAATGGCAAAGTACGAGTGCGGTTGGTTCCTATCCTCTGAATCCACTGTGGTTTGTGGATGGCGGCGACTGGACTACGGAAGACTTTATTCCAGAGTACACGGCTGGCCCATTTGAAAAGATTTGGTCATTTTTTGCCCCAAATCCTCGCTTGGAAGATTATTTGGGACACTGGGAACATGTCAAGGACAGTATTCCCATGAATCAGAACTGGAGAGTCCACGAAAGAATTGGAGTCTATTGCTTGATGGCCAACACCAGAGGGATCCAGCTGGTACCGCCTGCAGCCTACGAGTTGGGCTCCGAAGCCGTGAAAAGGTTCTTTTTGGAGGAGCTGCAGAAGGGTCACAAGTATGATAATTATTTCCAATAACCTCAAACCTTTCGACTTGCCTATTTACGGTACCGGCAGCGGTAGATGGTAGTATCCAACACAAAGCTTCGAGAAGCAGACGATTGAATCGAATCATACCTTGCCCAGGACGTCGATCTAGCTTGGTGGAGCTCAGCATTGGTCGGATCGAGAGCATTGGCTTCTTTGCGTTCGGATCTGGTCGGTGACTCCCACGACGAACCAATGCGATAAGGTCATGAGCCACATGAGATTCACAGAAAAGATTCGATTCGATTGAATCATTCGAAGATCCTCGTTTTCTGCGTGGCTTTTCTCTTCGTCCTTGTTTGCTCGCTTCTCATTCGTTCATCGGCGCATTGCAACAAAAGATCGATCGAGTTGCACACTTTTCCCCCGGCTATCTTTGGTACCGGTATTATAACAATAGTTGTTTAATCATCCTGACCATGGCGGCCAAGGCTGAAGACGCGCCTCAGTCTTACGACTTGAGTTCGATATTTTGGACCAAAGCTGCTTACCATGATGTGGCGGCTGACTTTCACAAGTTCCACAAGCATGATTTGAATGTGTTTCTTCATTTGTGGACGACCGGTTTGGGATTGTGGGGAGCCGTGCAATTGGCCATGATTCTTGAGCAACCCATTGCTGTCTACGTCTACATTGCTGTGACTGGAGTGACCTGTCCACTAGTGATCTCTGTATTGCACACTGCCATGTTGTACGGAATGATGCATACGCCGTTGCCTGCTGTAATGGACAACCTCGATCCCATGTATGTGTGCGGATTGGCCATTGCTCTCGGATATGGTCTCCAGGATGTGGCGCACTGGATGTGTGACGAAAAGACCTTTATGAACGACTACATTGCTACCAAGCCATGGATGCTGCTTATCCACACGCTCTGGTTGATGCCTTTGGTGATCGAGTCTGTCTTGATGCGATACTGCTTTTTGCCCAATTTGGTCAATCGCAACAAGAATGTCTTTTGCCAGGCTGCTTCACGAAAAGCCGTCGAAGATCTCCGAGAATGGGTCAACAAAAACATTGCCAATGTCAAGGTTACCACTCATGTTTGGCCACATAAGCAAGAGGGAACCTCAGGCCCGGTCACACAGCTGGAAAATGACGCGGCTATTATGGCCGCTTTTCGTAAAGTTTTTGCCGCAAAGCATTTTGATATTAAACCAGTCCAAGAAATGAACGAAATTTATGTCACTGCGGTTGGGGCCAAATCGGATATCAACTCGGATGCCGTCTTTTACACCAAGCACAACGATGGTCCCTACTGGTTCCTTCCAAGTGCTTCTCTCTACCGAGTCTTGGTCGGAGTCACACCCAACAAAATGGTCAGAACCAGATTCAACTTGCAGCATGAATCGGAGGACAAAGTGGTAGACATGTACGATGTCTTGGGATTCGACTACAACCGAGAATTGCACTGGATTGACCACGTCCCTGGCGCAACCAACACCGAGCGTCGCACACTCATCAAATTGCACTTTATTGTCTACCCCAAGGGATGGCACAAATATGGACAACTTTGTGCCAACTTGAACACCAACTACAACACGTGGGCTCGAAACAACTTCTTACAGACACTCCGTATCGATGGATGGTATGATTTCGCCTTGGCCTGGTGGATCTGGCTCACAACCATTTTCAATGCTACCTTTGTGGAAAAAGTGGGCTGGACCAACTTGATCTACATCCTCGGCTGCTACGCCATGGGACCCACTCCGTTCCTCGTTTTGACATCATTCCGTCACTACTGCATCTACATTACTACCTTTGCCTTCAGGAACCCACCCGTCGCACACGGAGAATTCATGCGTGATGTACTCCTCTTCAAGACTGTGGCAATCAGTCACTTGTCCCGACGTCTGTTGCCCATGGTGGATCTCCCCAACGATGCACCTGGATTGTTGCTCGTCTTGGCTGGATTTGCCACTACTATGTTGGCCACGGCCAGGTTGGGGATGGCCCGCACCTATTTTGGATCCGAACTGGGATTCGTCAAGCCCCAATGGATCACTGGCTTCCCCTACGGTTACATCCCTCATCCCATGATTGTTGGACAACTCTTTGCCTATTCCACAGTTCTATTGTGGTGGTGGGACAGAATCACCACTGAGAATGCGCTCCTTGTGGCTGGTCACATTGGTTTCTACACCACTCACATGGTGCAAGAAATGCTCACTTCCAGCTACTAGAGTTGGATGGTTTTAGTTAGATAGATAACAGCTGATTTGTTTGTTTGTTTCTGGAATTTGTTGCATGATTAGAGAAAATGGACGGTACAGTGACTTAGTTTTACATCACCTAGCTGCAATCAACTTTTGAATTTTTCTCTCTGGCACACTTCTGGCCTGTAGCAACAGCAAGAATACGGATTTGGCGTTTGATACATACCGAGTACAGTGCAGGTACCAAACAGTTGGTACAGGGCGGTACCTATTTAGAATACAGCCCCTATCCTAATCTTCTGGAAGTCCTTTGACACCGCGACCACACTTCCAAAGTTCATTTTAACCACTGCACTCTGCTCCGTGTGTCTTTGCATTCCGTTGGCAGCCGCTTGCCCTAACCCAGCCATTTCAATACGGTCGTACTTCCAAAAGCCCGGTGGGCATACTGGACCGTCCAGTACTGCGGGTCGTCCCAGGTGCCCGGTGGCTGGAGCCTTGCATGTCCATCAATGAATGATTGAATCCCACGTGCTCTAGCTAGCTAGTAGGAGGAGCCCATTTCAAAACTGGTCTGTGTCGGCAGCCTTCGTGCATTTCCATGAACATATTCTCAGGTAAACGCAGCTACGGTCCCCATGGGCGGACCGTATGCGTGGTGCTACCCCCCCGTAACGGAAATAGCTTGACTAGCTAACATCTAATTGTGTTTTGCTCCATTTCTTTCGCATAATTTTGATAGAATTATCTTTATTTTGCTACAAAACCATTTCAAAATTTTGTTCGAGGCACTTCCGACATCACACAACCCACTACTACGGCACTTCTACTAGCTAGCTACCCTTCCTGCACTGATTAGTATCTCGCAACCATGGTGAATAATAGCAATCCGGGAGGCAATATCTTCTTGACGACGGAGAACTTGGCTTTTGCCATGCCTCTGTTATTGCTGTGCGGGTCCTATGTAAGCGAGATGTCAGCGCTGTTTGCTTCATTGATGCATGGATGTTGTCTTGTCACGTTTCTGATGTTGTGTGTTATCCCCTTTTGTATTGAAATCACAGGCGTACTTCAAGTATCTGCCACTGGAGTACAGTTTACCCGGTGTGGGGATCGTGGGGGCAATTTTGTTTTTCCAAGCGCAGACACAGGCTCGCAAAAATGAAAAGCTTTCCAACTTGGACGAGGCGACAATCAGAGATATTGTTGGCGAGGAAGAAGAGGAGGACATTGCAAAAGGAAAGCCTCCCGCAAAAGGTAAAAGCAAAGCCCAAAAGGAAAGAAAAAACAAGAAAAATGGCAAGCAGAGCGGGCAAGATGACAATGACGATGATGACGGCGATGATGACCTCCAGGCGTTTGCCAAGGGCTCTCGTGGCAAGCAGAAGAAACGTTAGTGAGCCAAACCGAAGAAAAGGTTAATCAAAAAGAACAATGGGATGTGCACCCGTACACAACAATATTCCAACCATGCATGGTGCTTGCTTCAATCACAGCAACAGTTCTCTGAATACTGTAACAATTTCCATGGCACCGTGCACCACACTGGCAGGTCTACACAACGGGATTGATGCTGAATAAAATCAACAATACCAAAAATATATAGCTATCTAGTTTCAACGGTGGAGGTGCCCAATGATAGAGTGATTGTGGCTTCTCCTAACAAAAGGGTAGCAATAAGCGGTCCACTGCTTCATGCAACAAAGATTGAGTTTGTACTACTAGTACGTACACCAGTATAGAAAGCTAGCCAGAAGCTGGGAATAGCGCGCTGTGAAATCTTTGGTTTGGTTTAGACGGGGGCTAAAGACAACCCCTACTATTTTTAGTTGGGTTCCTTTCGTTGTCATGGATTTTCGAGTGGATGCGGCGACAAACCCTAGCTAGCTAGCATGCACGTCCCAACCAATTCAGTAGACTAATACCGGAGCCATGGACTTACACAGTCAACAGGCAGTCAATAAACACCGCAACTCTCACTACATGTATTATAGAAAAACCTATAGAAGCTACACCGCGTCTTCAAAGATGGCTCGACGAGCAAATGCGGGCAAGACGAACGAAGCTTTGTGAAGTTCCGGCGTGTAGTAACGCAATTCCTTTTGGACTTCGGGTGTAGGGTTCCTGGAGGGTGTCGAGCATTCTCCTCTTCCTTTGGTTCCAATAATGAACCCAATCTGTCCCGAAGGGTATGTGGGGATTGTCGTGTAGGCATATCCAACGGAAGTGTAGATGGAGCCAATGGACTTGACCAATGGCTGTATCAAGTCGACATGCAACCACATGCATTCTCCTTGCGTGCAAACAATGCCGCCTTCTCTCAAAGCGGAATGCATGGCCTTGTAGAAAGGCGTCTCAAAGAGGACATTGGCAGGTCCAATGGGATCCGAGGAGTCTGTGATAATGACATCAAAATAGTTTTGGTTTTGCTCCATAAAGACAGCTCCATCCATGACATGGACCGTAACGCGAGGGTCGTCATAGCCCTTGGCCAAAGAAGGTAGGTATTTTTTGGATACATCAATCACCCCTTGATCCAACTCGCAAATGACAATTTCTTCCACACCAGAATGGCGAGCAATTTCACGCAAGACGCCTGCAACAATTGAAAAAGGGATAATTGAAATCAAGTATGATGATTGTCAGGGTTGGTTGTTGGCTGGGTCTATTATTTCACTGTTCTCATCTTGTGCTGCATAATGCTGTAATGCTCTCACCTCCATCTCCACCTCCAATGACCAATACTCGCTTCGGATCCGGATGGGCAAAAAGGGGGATATGGGCAATCATTTCCTGGTAGGAGAATTCATCCCGCTCCGTGACCTGAATAACGCCATCGAGTACCAGCACATTTCCATGTTTTTCGGATTCAAAGACTAGGACATCTTGATACTTGGAGCGATGATGATCGAGGACTTTGTTGATTTTTAAAGACATGGCCTGGCCAGGCCACAGTTCGCCTCGTTCGTGGAACCAGCCATCAATAATCAGGTCCGTTCCGCTGTGTGATAGTTACAAGTAAGTGACAGAGGGATGGACGACAACAATTCTTAGGTTGGCAGAGACGAAGAATATATACCAGTACTTCAACATTTCCCCTCTCCATGTCCCTTACCACAACCCAGTTGGTGCACTATCTGATTCACCCATGGTCTCTCGGATAACACTCTTCTTCCTCAAACTAAAAACAAAATACTTGGGCTATGTCCACTGCCACTGCTATCGTCTATCCGAGGTGCTCTGCCCTGGTTCTGTGTTCCTGGGTTGGATGGAAGGCCCTGCCAAAATCCAACGGCCAAGCCAAAACCAATGCCATGCACGATCGAGCACTTCAAAGCAGAAAAAAGTTCTTTCAAGAGTTAGGGTTAGCTTGATGTAAGGATATCGAAAAGAAGTTTGCAGATCCAACCAACCAATTCGTGTGATGGCAATGCAAGGAAGACCTGATACCCATTGAACACCAATGTCCTACTATTACGGCAAGATAAAAAGACACCAGCGATACAGTCTATAATAGTATAGACAGAGATGAGTAGCAGCAACAACAACAATAATCAAAAGAGGAAAAAGAACTTGAATCCGTTTTACATTGATCAAAGCAATGGAAATGGCAGTTATGACAATTGGGATGACTACGCCGACTACCGGTACGACGACAATGACGAAGAAGAAGTGGGTTTGTTAGGGCACGATGTGCAGGGAAATCTCTATAGCAGCAACAACAGCAACGATTATCAGAACCGACGTGGCGCTCCTGTCCCCTTTGGGCGAAGATTCTTTGCGGTTCTGGGGTTGGTGGCTCTGCTGGTACTTGTCTTTGTGTCTCTGGGAGGAGAATCTCAAGAAGCAAGTCAATCAGAAGTTTACAACAACAAAGTAAAGGAGGATCTGGATGGTGATTTTGGTGATGCTGACAATAATTCCACAGAAGTCACAAAGCCACCAGGGACAGAGCAGAAAGATAAATCTGATGCTACTAGTACTCAAAAGGAAGAAGAGACAAAAGGAGAGAAGCAAGACTCACCTGCCAACAATTCACAAACCAGTGGAAATGCTACTCAAAAGGACCAAAAATCAAAAGAAGGCTCGGAAGCACCTGAAAATACTACCGGTAGTACGAAATCACCAAACCCCAAAGCAAAACCTACCAAAGCTAAAACAAAACCTCCAGCGCCCAAGACAAAACCTAAAACAAAAGCCCCCCAGCCTACAAAGCCACCTCCGCCTCCCAATCCAGCCAATCCAACCAACAAAACACCAAAAACAGCATCCAGTCCTACAAAGGGAAATGTTACAAGTAGTGACAATCTACTGAATTCCAGCCCACTGAATACACCAGCAAATGTGACAACACCCTGAGATGGATGAGCTGATAATCAAAAACTATGGCAAGTTTTCGAACACTGGCATTCTACTAGGGCCTAGCTAGCTAGGAAGAAACAAAACCTCCAGCATGTTCCAATGTGGACAAATAAAACAAGCCTCGATCACAAACAGACACAAGCAACTTCCGATCGGGCATTCAATCAAAGTTTTTGGAAATGGCTGTCAAGTGGTCTAGCTTGTAGCCAGCTTGGCCAAGGATTCGATTCAGATGGCATCTTCAGTGGAACTTCTTTCTCTCACTACCCTACCAAGTTTTGATTTCAAGAAACAAATAGAATAAACTACTGCCCAACACATAAGCTTTTGAATCTGGTCTAATCCGCGCTCCGCATGTAGTATGAACAATACTACCGTTTTAGCTAGCTAGAAAAAGCAACAAACATCCCAGATGTCCAACAGTTACGGGGAAAATTGACATCTTTTTACAACGGCAGCACCATCGGGGCCTTGTTTGGGGTTCATTCACAGATCGACGCTACAGAATCATATCTGTGGTTCCATGTAGGTTGGAGTCGTTCGATACTCAAGACCGGCCACGATGCGAGGACCACCCGCATGAGCTGCCCACAGGTCCAATTGTGCTGCACCCAAAATGTCGCCAACGAGCGTCAAAACTAGTCGGGCAATCAAAGTGGCAATCTGGGAACGAAGAACCCCACTCCCAAGGGCACGCTCATGCCAACGATCCAAGAACTTGAGATTCTCGCTCAAATCCTTGGCTGTGGCTTCCACGGCTCTCTCAAATTGTTGTGATTGCCAGCTTCGCCGGCCGGGGTCAAGCCCGGACATTGTGATATGATTGAGAATATCACTCTCCGTTATTGGCGTAAACGAAAAGGATAATTTATGACCAAGGATCTCCAATTGGATTCCCTCACAGAAATCAGTCACAATTGCTGTGACTAGCAAGATGATGTTGCTCAGCATGGCCCGTTGCCAAGCTAGAGGGAATAGCGTGAGCAGTGGGGCTGAAATCTGGCAGTGCGATAGCAGTGTCTCAACCACAGCATCATGCTGGACAAAGGCTTCTCCTGCGGGATACCTCTTTTCTCTGTTTCGTTTCCTCATCGCTCCTTGCAGCGCCTCACGAGCATAGTTCTTTTTCCCTCCTGGAATTATCCCTTGCCTCAACACAGGTGGCAGGTCTGGAGTTGCCTCCACAAAAAGCCGAATGTCGGTATGTGTCATAATGTTCACACCATGGAGAGCCGATATGCTTTTGGAAAGTACTTCCATTACGGCTTTGGCAATCGCCTTGTATGCTGCTTCTTCAGCCGCCTTTCCGATCTTTTCTCCCAGTGTTGAACCGCTTCCAATGCTTTGACGAAGGATCCAAAAGCCTCCTTTGTTGCCGCCATTTCGATTTCGTGATCCTTCATCATCTGACATTCCAAAATCATCAATATCTTCTTCGTCGTCCTCTTGACCATCGCTTTGCCATAAGTCTGTGTGATTAAGCTTCACTAGCCGGCCTGATGAGAACAAGAAGTCCAGGTACTCGTCCACCAAATCCTGCGGTGGGAAATTGAATCGTCGACTTGTTGGAGTTTCATTTTCGCGTTTCTTTCGACCATTTTCAGCGGTGTAGTTCCAGAGTGGATTGGGTCTCCTTTGGAGAACATCTTTTTCGCATGCAAGCTCCTGTAAGGTTTTTTGTGCTTCGCTCATGAGCTTGTCGATCTCCTTTACCCGATCTTTCCTACTCTGCTCCTCCTTGAGCTCCGCTGGGGACTTCCTATTGGATGGAATTGACATACCAGTAGTCAAGGTTGACATTTGTGGAACATCTCCCATATCTTCGTCATGTTTCGGTTGCTCACCCTTTCTCCTTTTGCCGCCTTTGGTTTTGGAAACTCTTTCTACGTTCTCACGGGCTCTGTCGATTGCCGCCAGTCTCTTTCTCACCATTGCCAAGTCCTCTTCTCCGAGAGGTACATCCTCTGGAGTTGAAGTAACATTCTTTAGTTTGTCTCCTGTTGGTTTTCCACTCAAGACACCATGAAGCCCAGTAATGTGCGCCATGGTTTTTCGGATGGGTCTGAGGGGTCGAGATATTCGAAAGGCTGGATGAACTCTTGAGAGCCCCAAAGAAGTCAAACCATCCACAGCCGCCCACTATGTATACATGGAGCCAGATGATTGTTAGGGACAGGCGTATCGCTGCAAGATGCGACAATGCCAAAACATTTCAGACACTTACCAAACCCGTCGACACGTAACTTGGAGGCGGTGCTTCCTCCTCCACAGTGGTAACAGTCGTTGTCGCATCCAGCCCAAGAGAGGTGGTATTCATTAGCGGTTCATTTTTTGCTTTCTTCTTGCTAGTTGTTGTCGGTTGATCCTTGTCCTTCACTCGTTTTGGCTTTGACTTCTTGGTGTCTTCTTTCTTGCTCTCTTCTTCTGTGCCTTTGTTGCGATTCTTGAGTAGTTTTCCCTGTGCTTCTTCTCCAGGGTCCAGCACCACACTATCTGATGTTGCTCCCGCTGTTCTCTCGGGTAGCTGCTGTGCCCATACATTGACCCACCAGAGCTTGGCTAGATCTGGTGTAGTTGTAGAGGACTTGTTGGCTGGTTCCTCTGGAACGGTGTCTTGTTTTCTGCCAGTTTTGTTGTTGGTGTCAGCATTTTCATTATCTCCTGATGGTTTGTCGCCTTGCTGAGCCAGTCCAAGCCACCGAAACAGTCCTGGCCTAGTATTGTTGCCAGGCTGTTGTCTGTCAACTTGTGTATCAAGTTTTGGATTTGGATCTGCTTTCACTCTTGATTCTTGAGGTTGATGTTTCTTGTTCCCTCTTTTATTGTCGGCTTTCTTCTTCTCAACTTGCTGTTTGGTGTTGGTTGCCTTTGGAATATTAATATCATCCAGTCCAAATGATAGTGAGTCCTGGTGCATCCGATGAAGTGAGTTGGCTGACCAGATATTGGCAGATGCTTTTTTCTTGGGAGTTTCATCATTATCATTATCATCGCCCCCACCTCTTGTCACCAGGAAATGATGACATGATTGTTTGGCTCCATTATGAAACGATGGACTGGTGCAGGGTATCCTCCTTGATGACGACAGCAGTGGATCCCCCCTGGTTGCAACCAAGGGTAGCACAAGGTGGAGCAGTATTGCTTTCAGTGACCCCCTCACACGACAACGTCTCCGCCTCATTAAACTCATGATATTCTACGGATAATAGCTTTGATGCCAATGCTTTTGGTATCGTCGCAATCATCAGTGGTGGTTTGACTTGATGAGCATCCAAACGACAGGTGGAGCATTGTAGCTCATCAAATTCGAACTGATCGGGGGGCAGTTCGAAGTGCCAATGGGGGTACCGGTACTCCGTGACCCAGTTCAGCCACGAATTGAATTGAGTTGGTAGGGTTAAGGCTGCGATCCGTGATCGGCACAGATACAGACAGATCAGGCAATAAGTTGCAGGCTGCGTGGATCATTTCGTCTTTTACAAACATTCTGAAGCCGTTGCCAACCATGGAGGACGATGCAACGACAAAGAAGGACAGCGAGACAGTCGTCTACGAGAAAGAAGCGGCTGATGAGGAGAAACAAGAAGTTGTGAAAGAGGAGGCGGCTGAAACAGCGGAGAAAACTGCTACTGATGATGCTACCATTAATCCCACCAAAGACGAACCGTTGGCTGAAGAAGACAAAGATGGCGCCACGGACAATGCTCCAGGTGACACTCTCAAAGCAGAATCCAAGGAAATGGAGGAGGTTAAAGAATCTGGAGAATATGTGGCTATTGATGTTACTGCAAATGAAGAAGGTTATGGCAGTGAAGGTATCAGCAGCGAAGTAGATCTAGTCAAGGAGGACGAAGATTTTAAGGACACCCCAGAACCAGCTACTCATGCCGCGGACACTGAAGCCATGGACGTGGAACCTCAAGATTCAAAAGAAGAGACAAGCACAAACGAAAAAACTGCCGAGAACGATCAGAAAGCAGAGGATGAAGGTTACATTGAGGTAGATCTGTCGGCAGCCACAGAACGGGAGACAGAGGAGCAAGAAGACGAAGCAACAAAACAAACTGAAGAAGAAACCAATGCATTGAGAACCCCACGACGAGATAGGACAAGTATTTCTGCTCCTATTGCAGGCACAAGGAATGATGACGATGATGATATCATGACAGTGCCTTCTTCGGAGGGTCAAGACGACGCCGGAGACGATGATGACGACGACTCCAAATCGTCACCAATCCCTTCACATCTCCCTGATTATCTAGACAAATCAACTGTCAAGTCAATCAGATCTTATCTCAATGATTTTGATCCAACAACAGCTCTCGACGAAGATGACATTTGCAACCTTATGATCAAGACCGATCGAAACGTCGAATACCGAGCACGCTACTATTCCAATCCTCTTGATGACTTGATGGATGAAGACCAAATGTACAAGGAATTTCATAAAGAGGAGGAAGAATATCTTGTGGGTCACGACTTTGTCAAAGCAATGTCCAAATCGCTGTACGCTTCCAGGAATCGTGGACTCGACAAGCGAACTTTGAACTGGGTCAAGCGAGCTGCAGGATTGAAAAGACCAGACTACCATTCGCCGCATTCTGCATTGGGGAGAGATGACGAGGATTCAGATGACAATGATGGAAAGCGCAAAGCACCACGACGGTATACCAGAGGAATGGCCAGGACCACGCGAATCAAAAAGAAGGAAGAGTTCGCCTTTATGGACAACCTTGGACTCAAGTCGCTGCTGGATGCCGTGGAAGAGATGGAACCAACTGCAGGACCTTATCCGGTGCCTTTTGAATGCATCCAGAGCAGAGAAAGAAAAGTCATGCCGCAAGATAGGAAGAGATCCGGCTCCAGGTCCTACAGTAGACGAGACTCTCTCAGCAGACGACGAGACCCTCCAAGTGATGACGACTCGGCCAAATTAAAGTCCACCTTCGACCCCGTTACGATGCGCCCCCTGGTTGCTAGAATCTCCGAAGAAGACAGCATGGCAGGGCTTGCTCGTTGTGGTGACGACTATATCTTTGGTGAAACTAGGGACCTTTTGGTGACCAAGGTTCTTGTCGATGGCGAGCATGTGTCGGAAGACGAAGGAGAAAGGCTCTCTCTCAAGGAACGAAAACGTGAGCTGAAGCGATTGCGCGACCGTCAATATCAAAAGAAAAGGCGGGAACGCCAATTGGCGGAAAAGGAACGAAGGAAGAGCAGCATTCTCAACACACCTGTACGCTCAAACAGAAAGAGAGGTCGTGATGATGACAGTGGCAGCGACGACGATGGGGGTCGTCGCAAAATCCGCCCCGTTCGACCTGGCAAGAGGAAAGGTTTTAGCCGCAAGCTTGCCGGTTCTAGGCCTCTTCGTGGACCCGTGTCACTACCACTTCTGGATTGGCAACGGCGTCAGATGTGGTCCACCCGAACGAAACCAAAGCGAGAAGAAGCCGACGCGAACAACACCATGGACATCCCAGATCAGCTCGCGAAATGGGGCATCACGCATCGGCCACCTCCATGGGATGCCGTCAACCCTGCTCTTGGTTACGAAGCAGAATACGAAGAGCCTCTCCGAAGACGTCACGCAGACGATGTCTACGGCCTGTGGTGCCACAAACTCATCAACTGCCTCAATGGGAGTGCCAGAGCCTGGGCAATTCATGAATTCTTCTATAGCGACTTGGACAGGCCTTGGTACTCGAGCAACACTTTTGCAAAAGAGGTGGCCAAGCTCGGAATCTCGCCTACGGCCAAGTTGACGAGGCGGGAATGGAGTCTGGTTCGAAGAATGATTCGCAAGCGCCCACTTCGTTTCTCGAGGAAGTTTGTACTCTCGCAACTGAAAGAACGCAATGAGTTTCGAAACCAGATCAGGCATTTGCAACGAAACCCCGATGCAGACAACAACACTGGATACGACATTCCTGCTCCCATTAGGGTTGGTGCAACCGTCACCGCGTACAACAAACGCTTCCTAGTTCTCCACAGGGGCACTGTGTTGTTTCACGATGTTCATACTGCACGCTATCTTATCCAATTCGAACGACCAGAGCTTGGCTGCCAGTTCTGCTCTGATACTGAGGTGGCCAGCCATGGAGTTCCTCGAGTGCTCACACCCGCCGTTCCGCGCCATTTGTGTGGTTCTTACTACAAGGCAAAAGCAGGTAATTTCGTGGAGACCGGGGCAATGCCGTATGGCACCAGTTATGCATCTCTTCCCGGTAAGTATTCAATTGCCAGTGCTGTCGCTGGATGGTCTTTGTATCCTGGAACTCAGATTCTGTTTTCATTTTCCATCTATAGTGGCGAACGATGTTACGTGCGACATTGAGATGGCCAACTTGATGACAATGAGCCACCAACGCGAATTCGGAGGCATCGTTAGGAAGCCGGAGGATGCGCGAACCGCACTTGTAGAGAAAGTCGCGGAGAGGGAAACGTTGGTGTCCCTGCTGTCAATCATTGAAGCTGCCACAGGTCGGAAAGAACGACTGCTAAAGTGTATGGACAAGTTCAACTGTTTGCTCGTCGAAAGGCTCCCGTTTGGTGGCGGGGCTCCTCCCAATCATATCATATCTGAATACTACCACTCGCATTACGCATGGCTTGAAGCAAATCTCCAGTCAACAAACCACAGCCTCGACCGAGCTCATTCTTATCTTAAGGTGATGTATTCTGGGGCTTACTCTGCAACGTAAGTTCATGAAATGGGGCTGGGACAACCCAAACATTGCTGTTTCTGTTGCTGACACGGGCTTTTTCTCTGCTTCCTAGGTCGGGTGATGTCAAGGCAGTTAAGGATGATGTCATGAAGCGTTTCGTCGAGAGCTGCCTTGCAGAAGAGAAACGGTTTGGCGGGGGGCCTCCTGCCGAGACAGTTCATTGGATTGCAGCCCTCCACCATGGCTCACATGATGTTGGTTCTTACCTTGCATCACTGGTCGTCCGAGAAGAGCCCCAAAGCGGATCACAGCGGACTACCAGTAGTACCTCTGGTGAGACTAACCCTCAATCAGCTGGACATATCTTGCGCCGTCAAATCGCAGCGGCTGGGAGTGTTCTTTCGACCATTGGCTACTGTTGTGGGAGATCTGCAGAGAGCGACATTACCATGCAAAACGGAGACGTACCCTTCGTCGACGTCGTTCTCGCTTCTGGCTTGTCGAATCGACAATCAGAAGTACCGAACTCTGAGCGAAATGGCGTTGTTAAAGACATGCTGGACGAGAGGACTGCAGCGGAGCAGGACCTGAAAGATTCCCTGGCGTTGCTTCGTAAGGAGTTTACAGGCCTTTCCTATGCAGCTGGCGGACAAAGGTCTTTGCTCGGCTAAGTCCATGTGCTAGGCGAAGTTGCGTCGCAGTTAAGTTTATGTTCAACCTTCTGCTGTAGTGCCTGAGTGTGGCATATTCATCTGCAAAAGCCCCGTTATTCCATTGCAATTGACACTCTTCCAATTATCGAGCTTGCAAACGCTCTCGACGACAAATGCAAATCAAACAGTCCTTTGGAGAAAGCCCATAGGAAACTAATATCTTAATTAAAAAAGTTAACCATTTATCATTGATATTGTAGCTACTGGAAGGTTGTCCCCAAAGATAATGGTTATCCAGATGGTACACGTATAACGACTATATACGAAATACGGTATACGCGTTCTTCGTAGACGGTAGTCTTTAGCTCACACCGGCACTCAGGTTTTTATGTACCAATCTTGGGAACCTATTTGACAGGACATAGAAAGAGTTAAAGTAGTGATGCGAGATTTATTGCACACATGATTGACCCATCAGTCAGCATCAGTTTTCGTTCCAACAAGCCCTCTTTCGAATTGCTTTCTGCTTTCTTCACAATCGATCCGATAGCTTCAAAGATGAGATTTGCCGCGGCTTTTGGGTGAACAAGACCATGGTGGGCTCGACTGGTGCCTCTAGATGCTGCGGGGATGTATGTTGTTTGGGCAATCCAGGCTTGCTTCTTGCTGCTCGGCCAACACGACAATCAACAAGCTACCATTGCCCGGAATTGTCACTCTCCATGGACACTCTTTCCGTGGACACGGCTTCTCGGTCAAGATTGTTTGTTATCCTAGCTGCTCGGATATGACAAACCAACAGCATCGGCTCCTCATGGAGGCCCTCAAAGTTAGATTGCTGCTTCCCAACTTTGACAGAGCAAAGGCCTTGTTTTCAGTTGGAATGCGGGTCGAAGAGGCAACGTCAACAGTTTCCTTGGATAGTCTTGGGCGGCTCATGCGTTCCTATGCCCAGAAGAATGGACCTCCAAATGTATCTACCAACGAAGACGCAATGGTTAATCGCGCGGTGCAGCTGATATCCATCATGAAACGCCATCCAGACAACATCATCAACAACCCTGTTGCTCCTCTGCTTGGGATCACTTTGGTGGAGGCAATGCTGCTTGTTGGTTTCCAGTCCAAGAGCCAACAAGGCAACCAGAAATGGAAGGCTCAATATCAAAAGTGCTTGCGTCGGAAGCAGAAACTAGAAAAGGAGACAACAGCAAAGCGAGTTCGTCCCCTCCATTAGAGACAGTTGGAATTGACTCCAATTCAATTCAATCATTCTCCCCATTGACACAGCGATCACGGTCATCTGCAAGTGCTTCTGACATTGAAGGTCAGCCCGAAGCAATGGTTACATCACCGTCACCAGCAACACCATGTTCAACAGGACAGCAGAGCACTCCAATGGATGCATCGCCTACGCTCATGACACCGAGAACCGAACCAACACCAAGACGTCTCATACTGTCGACCGTGCAAGAAGATAATGATCCACTAGATGATAGCAGGTTCTTTTGGGTATCTCCTTATCCAATTGAAGACATGGCCTCTGTTTGTGGAACTACTTTTAGCTCTGAGAGCAGCTTAGTTGCTGTGCGACAACAGCAAGTCAAGCTTTCGTCGGTTGCAAACATTGACAAGCATCGAAAAACAACCAAAGCAACACACGCAAATCAAAAAGAGGCTGAGATGTTGAAATCCATCCGAAGTGAAGTATTCAAGGCCATGACCATTCTTTGGGAGGGAGTATCAGCTGGACGCAACATGCTCACGGTCTTCGATACTCCAGAGAAGATTGCTTCTACATTCACTGCCATTTGCGGTGTTGAGCTTTTCACTGGAAACGAAATTCGATCTGCTGTTAAAAGAGGGGACGCTGGCAAGTCTCCAGTCCGACGGGGACGACCAAGCTCCATTCCTGATGACGTCTTTGAAGCTTTTTGCTCTGCCGTTTTCACATATTCTGCTATCCAGCAGGTCAATGCAGAAGATCGAGACACCAGAAGGGATATTCAGACTATTGTTGGCTCTGTGCTCAATGGAAAACGATTGGAAGATGGTCTTGATCCAATGGGCGAAGTTAACTTCTTTCGACGCATAGAAAGGCGCAACAGCTCAAAGCAATCGTTTTCATCCCAAGACCCAAGAGAAGCACTCAGAGTCCAGTGGCTCACATATCAATGCCAAGAAGCAAACTATAAAAGATGGGAAGAGACTGCTGTGGAGCTTGGATTTGCGAGGTTTCCTGCTCCAGGCGAGAATACTGCCGGTCAACACATCATTTGGCTTGAGGGGCAAGCAAGGAGAGTCCTTCAGCTCGATGAAATGGGCTTCTCGATGGACGCATCCGTAAGAGGTGGCGGCCGTCCATCCCATGTGCCGACTGCCGATAATCTTCCAGACAGTGGCCAATCGGCACCCAAAGGTGGTGCAAAGATTACTATTATCCATGGCATTAACTTCGCTGATGAGGTCTTTCCTCCATACATTCAGTTCCCATCCAAAGCCAAAGATAAGGGAAATTACAAACTCAAGATCAAAATGTTGGAAGGCTTGCGGCAGATCAAAGGGCAGTTTGGTTACAGTCGAGAGCATTGTTTCGATGTTGGCTTTGGAATGAATCCGAAAGGCGGAATGGACGGAGGATGCTTTCAGAAATATCTAGTGGAGCATCTTTGTGAGCTTTATCCGGATGCACAAGACGTCCCATTGTTACGTGTGTTGATCAAAGCGGACAGTGGGCCTGGACGACTTCTCGTTCCAATGTTGGGCGATCTCCGTGCCAGAGGTATCTATTTGTTTCCAGGGCTTCCCAACGGAACAGAGTTCCAGGAAATGGACAACCTATATGCGTATGCGAAGACGCTAAACTTCCGCAACAGAGATCTGTTGATCAGAGAGAGAACAAGGATCGACGGTGCTGCCTTCACTTCGCTGAGCTATAATGACATTGGATTTATTATATTTGGAGGCAAGGTGCAATTGAATGAGTCGGCAAGTGTGGAACTACTGCCAGCATTTGATCTTGCATTTGACCAAGCGCACATTCGCAGAGCAAGGGAGAAGTGTGGCTATCTTCACTCAAGCTGCGCTTGAGCACCCAAAAGTGCGCCATGAGATTGTCCAGGATGAAAATGGCGCCGTTGATGTTGATGCCGATCCTATTGGTACCTATTATGAGGCGCTGGAAAAGGTGAACCAAGATGCCTGTGCCGAGCTTGCGAGTAAAGGGTACACTCTAGCCCAAGAAAAGCTGAAGCTGTCAGTTCGACGTGTTACGGCTGCTCAAACAGTTGGACGACAAGAGGCTCGGACTTTGCCAAACTCAAGAGAGCGCCAAGATCTCATTGCAAGGGTTTCAACTGCAGGGCAGTGGTTTCATGTTACCAACGGTGGTGGACCAATGAATAGCAATGATGCCCTGATTGCTTGGGCCCGAAAGGGAATGAAGCTAGAGGTGGAGAAACTTGAAAAAGAGAAGAAGGCAACGCTTGAATTCGAGACAGTCGAAGTGGAGGCACTCCAAATCTTAGAGCAACACCCAGAGCATGGCAATGGAGCACCAACACAACAAGATCATTGGAAGAAGACTTGGAAAAATGATATGATCCGCACGATCATTCAATGGAAGCAAGGGCCACTTCCGTGTGAGCCAAACAACGAAAAGGTCAAGGGCAAAGCAAAACAGTATCTGATTGATCTATACGCAACAAAATATTCGAATGTAACGATGGAGGTTGGAAGCAATGCATGGAATGAGGAAAAGCAAGAGCGGCTTGACAGATTAAAAACTGGTGAAGTGAGTGATTTGATCAATGACACGGAGTTAAAGCGAGCCTCTGAGAGAGAAGCGGAGTTTCTCAAGACAAGGCTACTTGCTTTGGATGCAAGCCGACGGAAAGCAATTGTTAGTAGCGTCATGTTGAAAATGGCGCCTGGAGAGAGAGACGATGTTTTTTTTTGGCTGCTTGATGCTTGTGATGCAATGGACAACGATGGAGACGACGATTCTACGGTTAGCATCTGATGAGTAGCCGTCAATGATGTAGGCCGTATAAAAACAATAATATAAGCTGGCTATAAAGATGTTTACTATAAGTGTTCGTTCTTGCCAAGCAATAAGACAACAGAAGCCCGCTACAAGACTGTCAGCACAACATTCTTAAACTCCTGGAAGAAGAGTCTGCCTTGATCTTTTAATGCCGTCCGTTCACACACAACCTGAATGCTCTTTAATCCGTCGTTGGCTTCAACATGAACGAAGTCCAGTTTCATGCCTCGGGCACGACTGTTAGCACTTTCAAGTCGTCGGAGGGCAATTGTTGCTTTTCGCAAAGGGAGACCGATCTCAACTGAAATCGGCTGACCAACGATGATCTCCTCAGTCTCACCAGGTGGCATCACTTGCTCCGGCAAGAGGTAGACATCAACTTTCAAACGATGCTGGCTGGTATTCTGTATCATGACCTTGAACCATTCGAGAGAGCACAGGTGAGATGGCAACTTGCAAAGCGAGGCTTCCCTGGATCCTCATCTCAGTGCCGTTGCGATAGATCACGTGCAGTGTTCCATGAGCTTTGGCTTCGACCGCTTCATTCGGTGGACCATAAGGGATCGTCTGAAAGAACATCGTCAACTGCTTGATTTCTTTTTGATTGCTGTCGACTGTGGTGATCGCGGTG